TCGACAGCACTCATTAAATCCATACAGTTTTTTCTTGTATGCGTCAATTGCTTGTTGCATGTTCTCCTCGCTCCACCGATATTTTCGTTCCATGCTGGATTAAAATAAAACATAACATTAATAATATTAAAGCTATTGAAGCTGTTAATGTTTGTTAGATTTTAATTACTTACATATCTTTAATATTATTCGGTTCCCCAGCACAGGAAAATAACCTTCGTTATCTCGAGCAAGCGGTTTAAAATTTTGATGACCTTTTTTGGGAAAGCACAATGATTAGTCTTTGACTCAAGAAAGAAATCTCCGGCAGAAAAGTCAATTTTGATTACCTTTCTTTTTGAAAACAATTTCTTTTAGCAAAAAGAACTTCCAGCAAAACACTAATACGTGTCCGGCACAATGCTGCATGCTTCAATAATGATAGTCGTGGTTATGTCACTTAACCTAAAGACAAAGGGTATATGAGTATTTCTAAATCGAACCGATACAATATTGGAACTCTTGTATTGGTACGATTTAGGACACTTGGCAGATTTTATAAAAATATTGATGTAATTTTTATAATAATTATAAATATGTATATACGATGAATGTAAAATATTTTATAATAAATTTTCTTTTAGGAAAAAATAAAAATTCAATTAACAATTGCATGGTTACATCAGTATCAGCTATATAAATTGATCAAAAATTTACATCAATTGTATCTGATTTTTTAAAATGCTGATAGCATGCACAAAACAAGATGTAACCTGTTAATTTTTGGTCTATAGTACACATTTTTTGTTTACTTTATATTTTTGTTACTAAATGTTACTTATATTAAGTGGAACTATAAAATATTAAAAAGGTACTATTTATGAGACCAGTACGTATTCGGCAACTTTCCCCTATAGAACTTTTTTCCACAAAGTAAGGTTAAGTACGTTCATTAAAAAAAAGTAATGATTTACAATATTCGAGAATATATCATTTACCTTTCTATGCACGTGAAAAATCTTCTTCAAAAAGATTTACTTCAATCACTTTCTCTGTGTCATACAATGCTTGTTACATATTGAAAATTTTAAAACGACCAGATGTTATAATTTTATAAAATTTTAGTAACGGCCGGATTGTACAAATAAAACAGACGACGAACGAAACGACCGCGTCGACCCACCTACGAACCGGAAGCGTCGTGAGCTCTACGCGGTCGCGATTAATGACGTCAGCTATGACGTTTTGATCGCGACCACAATGATCGCGGTCGTTATGTGGAACGGGATTGTAGGCGTCGCGAGCGTTGCGGGCGATAAGTGGAACGCACCCTTAGTCTACGGTTCACTTTAGGCCAGGGACCTCAATCTCCCCTTGTTAAGAGGATGCTGAAAGGTCGGAAATTGCCGACATTTGCATTCTAAGTAATATCTCCGAAACGACTGAACGGATTTGAAAACGCTTTTACAGGAGTGAAATTGAGATAAAATGTAAACGCGCGAATTATAAATTTATAGTAAAAACGAAAAATATTAAAAAATTACCTTTTTT